TGTTTTCTGAGCCCAAAAGTGACGTTCCACTGTGGTCAGCACCTCTGTGAATGCCACAAGCATTCTCGTGTCGTAGCTAGTATGCATGGCGAGATCAATGTCGCACTCCTCTTGCCTTTGTAGTTTAAGGAATAACTCCATTGCCACTCGTGATGTGTTGGTCAGAGCGAGCAGCATACCGGTCAACAGCTCGGGATCCATTCCTGCAGCCAGAAAGAGGCAGGGCAGGGTGCGCAGTACACAAACCGTTGAAAGATGGCACCAAATGTGGACAAAAGCACAGGGATTGCTGGGATGCGAAGCAATGCATCACGAGGCATTGGGACAGGACCCAGGATGCCCCGTGACCCCCTCCGCCTTCCCACAAGTCTTAGCAGCAAAAGAGAAAGAGGTGCTCTGTGGGATAGCTGCCCAGAGTGCACCGCTCCGAATACCGCTGCAAGTGCCGCAAGTGTGAACACGCTATTGCGCAGGCAGCTGTTAGTGTGAACACACAACAGCGGTTTTCCTTCGGCGCCCTCTGAGTGGCACTGTAACTGCCGGCGATGTAACTTTGCAAGTGTAGACGTGCCCTCAGAGTTGGCCCTGGTCTACACTACGGGGTTAGGTCGAATTTAGCTGTGTTAGGTCAATTTAAAAATGAATGTGTCCACACAACCAGGGAGTAGTGCTAAAATCGACTTTGCTGGGTCGAATTTGGGGTAGTGCGGACGCAAATCAACGGTATTGGCCTCCGGGAGCTATCCCAAAGTGCTCCACTGTGACCGCTCTGGACAGCACTTTGAACTCCGATGCACTAGCCAGGTACACAGGAAAAGCCCTGGGAACTTTTGAATTTCATTTCCTGTTTGGTCAGCGTGGCGAACTCAGCAGCACAGGTGACCATGCAGTCCCCCAGAATCGTAGAACATAGACTGTTTCTATGCTCCCGCTGTCATCTCTGTCTCTGAGGTTATCGCAGATTAGAAGGCGAAAAAAAATGCACTTGCGCTGACATGTTTTCCGAGCTCATGCAGTCCTCCCGCACTGATAGGACACAGCTTAATGCATTGAGGCATTCAGTGGCAGAGGCCAGGAAAGAATTAAGTGAGCGTGAAGAGCGGAGGCAGGACGCGATGCTGAGGCTAATGGGGGAGCAAACGGACATGATGAAGTGTCTGTTGGGGGAGCAAATGGACATGATGAAGCGTCTGTTGGAGCTGCAGGAAAACCAACAAGAGCACAGACCCCCACTTCATCCACTGTGTAACCGCCTACCCTACTCCCCATGTTCCATAGCCTCCTCACCCAGATGCTCAAGAACGCTGGGGGGATGGGGGGAGGCTCTGGGCACCCAGCCACTCCACTCCAGAGGATGGCCCAAGCAACAGAAGGCTGTCATTCAAACAGTTTGATTTTTAGTGTGGCTCCAATAAGCAATGTGGCCTTGTCCTTCCCTCCTCCCCAACCCCACCCAGGCTACCTTGTCCGTTATCTCTTTTTTTTTTTAATTAATAAAGAAAGAATGCATGGTTTCAAAACAATAATTACTTTATTTCGAAGGGGGGAGGGTGGTTGGTTTACAGGGAATTAAAATCAACAAAGGGGGCGGGTTTTCATCATGGAGAAACACACACAACTGTCACACCGAAGCCTGGCCAGTCATGAAACTGGTTTTCAAAGCCTCTCTGATGCGCAGTGCGCCTTGATGTGCTCTTCTACTCGCCCTGGTGTCTGGCGCGAAATGATTGTCTGCCGTTGCTTTCACGGAGGGAGGGGCGACTGACGACATGTACCCAAAACCACCTGCGACAACGTTTTTGCCCCATCAGGCATTGGGAGCTTAACCCAGTATTCCAATAGGTGGCAGAGACTGCGGGAACTGTGGGATAGCTACCCACAATGCACCACTCCGTAAGTCAATGCTAGCCACAGTAGTGAGGACGCACTCCGCTGACTTAATGTGCTTAGTGTGGGCATACGCAATCAACCATATAAAATCGATTTCTAAAAATTGACTTCTACAAAATTGACCTAATTTCGTAGTGTAGACATACCAGGCAATGTCTTCACAAGAAATGTTGCTGTGGTATGACTACAGCACTGCAGCTGCACTGCTGTCCTGCTTCAGTGTAGACACTCATTACAGCAACAGGAGGGGTTTTCCCAATGCTGTAGTTAATCCACTCCCCAAGGAGATGGTAGCTAGGTCGATGGAAGAATTCTTCCTTTGTCCCATTGCTGTCTACAGTGAGGGCTGACTTAACTATGTCACTCAGGTTGTGGATTTTTCTCAGCCTGAGTGATGTAGCTGTGTTGACCTGACTTTTGGTTTAGACCTGGCCTGACCTTTAGACCTGGTTATGGAGTCAAATCCAGTACAGGAACAATATTTTCTAAAGTACCTAAGTCCCGTTTTCAAAAGATATTTAGGCACTTAGGAGCCTAGGGCCCATTGATTTTCAATCAAAATGCTTTCCCGGAATGTGTGGATTTAAGCTAAATTTGTGATAAAAAATAAACTAATTTTGTCTGGATAATGTCAAAACATTTCATTTCAATAAGGTGAAAATGTTTCATCTTGTTTTGAATATATATATTTTGTATTATATTCTGATGTTTTGATTTGATCAGAATGAAATATCTTGATGGTTCTGACTTGACTTTTTTCTGGCATTTGTTCCATGGGAAATTTCAGATTTTTGTTTCAGTTTAGAATTAAAAAAAAAATTCAAAATGTCAGTTTCCATACAATGGAAATTCCATGGTCTAACTAGCTTTGGCCTATGTGGGTTGGGAGAGTTTAAGTCCAGTTCCCAGTGAGTAAGTGTGCAAATCACAAAAGCTACCAGCTCCTTTGGCATGATGATGTCACCTTGTTGGAAGTCTCAGAAGGGACATTAAGGATTGAACTGGCTATAGAAATGGAGCTTTCTACTGATCCCTAGAGACGACATGCTAACTGCCTCTAATGTTAGAACACTTTTATCATTTCCCCATTATGTCCCCCCTCCGTCTCACCCCCCCCCATCTCCCCTATTCTAATGTATTGCAATAGAATTAAAAAGCATCTGACTAGCTCCCCAGACATCCCTATTGCTGGATATGATAGTGGGAGTCTTCCACCAGGACAGGACTGAGAATTATTGATAGTGGTTAGCATGGGGAAGTGTGCCCAGCTGCTGCCCTGGCTCGATCTGTTCTGAGGGCTGCAGTCTCTAAGGTGGTCAATCCAGCCCTTTTCACTTGCATGAATTCCACTGAAACAATTTTGTGGGATTTTTTCTGATGGTTTATTTTAAAAGGGAATTGTATAACAGGGTTCAAAATGTGAAAAAGAAAATCAAAGTCCCAAAGAGAAGCTTCCTTCCCTCTTCTCTTTTATTACAACGGGCTCTTGAGACCATCTGAAAGGCATTTGCTTTTAGTCTATGTTTGGAGCGAACAATCTTTTTAGAGAAATGCACAAATAAAATTTAATCTCATTGGTGGATTTTGTAAGTGGAACCAAAGGATGAGCAAAGAGGCAAGATACGTTATTCTCCACAAATGATTTATTTTCACATTGCTACCATGTTGTTTGTCCCCCACCCCCAGGAATTGGGCCTTTGATGCACTTCTTTGTTCTTGTTCCTTGTGTTTTTGCTAGAATCCTAAATAATCCATGATGTGTGACATTCCATACAAATAGTTTGGACATTAATGAATGGGGGAGGGGAATGGGAGAACAGTGGAGTAGTCTGGAGCCCTTGGCTTGAGTCTTATTTGGATTGCAAATATAATCAGTCTGTTGATCTCAACTGAGCTAACATCTATCATAATTAACAAAAAATAAATAAATCAATACAAGCAGCCAGACTTTTCAGTCTTTGCTCAGGATTGGAATAGCAAGGATTGCTACAGGTCAGAAATAAGGTGCATCAACAGAGCTGTAGGAAGGGGGACCCAAGACTGGAATAACAGGGGGCTTTGTAGATTAGGAATGAGGTTCTTGTGGAGGATGGCAGGAGGGAGAACAAGACTGGAATAATTAGGGTTTTTGCTGTTCAGTTTTGTGGTACATTAGAAGAGCAGTATTCAGACAGGCAACAGACCTATCCCGGGGGTGCTACAAAGTCAAGACTCAGGCACCTTGGCTTTAAAGCCATTTCATAATGTATGTTTGATACACATGGAAAGGGTTTTGACACACCCTTCAAAGGATATTGCAAGATTTGTCCATTTACACAAGCTTTTGTATGATACGGGGCTTGAGTTGCTTTGGTAGTTTGAGGAGTGCTTTGAGCTTGGCTTTGTGCCATAATAGGTTCTGCTGCTATTTGTTTTGAAAGTGCTCAGTGTGGTTACAAAATGGGATAGGGACACGTTCTAAAGCAAGAGGAAAAATGAAGAAATACTGATAGGGATAGAGAGAACGCTACAAGATGGAGAAAAAAGGGGCCTGAAATCCAGAACTGGACTGTGAGGAGAACGAGACACATACTGGGGCAGTAGGATCTTTGTTCAGGTGCTGTCCTCTGTATGTGCGTGTGAGAGAGCGAGAGATTGATTTAATGCACTAAAGGCTACAATTCAGTCTGGGGGAGTTCTAGCGACTTGAGCATAACTCTTACTTTTTTAATATACTGTATCACCAAAGTCCCCCAAAGGATTTACTGCCACATAAATAATGCATAGCTAAGGGTACATTATTCCTGCTGTTATGGTAAAAGCTAAATCAGCATGGGCTAATCTCACGCTGTCTCTCTAAAACTAAGCAGTGTAATAATGTGGCTGGAATATTTATGGCATTCGGTTAGTGTGGTGCCACACTCAGTAAATTGAAAAAGCGTGCGAGGTGTGCTCTATTAATTACGGTAAACGTGCATCCTGAAGACTTGATTTCTAGGCGCTCGTTTTTCTGCTGATGTCTCTTAACATAATCACCACAGCGTGTGGGTGGCAACAGCACAGCAGTTTTGCTTTCCGATGCGACGTGTGATTGGTGTAATATGGTAATGTAGAGGAGGTGCTAGGTTTGGCTCTTTTATTATGGTAAGTGTGGATTGCACAAAGGGCCCCCGGCTGAGAGCGCTCCGTCTAGTCAGTTTCTGTCTCTGCAACTGACCAGCAAGATGTGAATTTGTCTCTGGCTGGCTGTGGAAATTATTTTTCACGTGGGGGTGGCGTTCGATAGACCACGCAGCCCCTCCGCCAACTCCAGGGAGACCATGCTCTAAGGCTGTAAGTTTGTGTTCGGTTTCAGTGCAATTACTTTTCTCTCTCTTCCCAATTGCTAGTCCAGCATTTCTCGGTCTCTCTCTGTGAAAATGTTTCTTTACTGCTCGCTAGTTTGAGCAGGTCTGGCTGGCCCCTGTTGCAGAAACTATTTTTAGGGGTTTCCCTGAGTCAGAACAAAAAAAGATACCACGATGCTGCACACAAACAGGTTACGTCTTGGGAAGGCACTGCACTGATGTCTCTTTGCTGCGCCGCTTGTGTTTCTTTGTACCTCCGGCTGGCTTGTTTTGTGTTGGTGGACGGAGGGATTTGCTAAGCCCCCTTCCCCGTTCCCAATATTTGCATTGACTTTGGAGATGGAAAGTTGTAAAGCAACTTAAATCTTTTCTGGTGTGGTTTTGTGTTAAGAGCCACTTCCTGCTCCTAGGTAACGAATAGCCTGGGGAACGTTGTAATGGTAAATGCCCTGAGATTTCTCACTTCATCTTTGTTTGGGGAAAAAAGCTGCACAATCTGCTTATTCCTCTCAAAGTATTGGTGTGAAATTCACGTGAGCGAATAAATATTGGTGCTCTGTGTGTGGAGGGATGTGTGTAGTAATGTATTGTTTTGGGGGTTGTATAGTAATCGTCATACAAGAGCATCAGAAAAGCACTTCCAGCTGTTTAACCTGGATGCACACGTGTGTTGTTGGGGGGGGGGGGGGGGGGGGTCTTTGCATTTTGATAGGTGACAGTGCTACATGTATCAGAAAAAGGGACATCCCTTCGTGGGTGAGGAAGCAGGTAATCTGCCTGTAATTGTAGGGGGGTTCCTTTGCTGCTAGTTATTGCGCTGCTTGTTACAGTAATGATGGCCTGTGTGTTTGTCTCAAGGAAACATCAGTGAAATGAGAGACAAGGCTGTGAACTATAGCATTACTTTGAGACTCCCCAGCTGCAGAATCTGAAAATCCAAATACACAGTTTATTTTGCCTCTCAAGTCTCTGTCTCAGTGCAAATCAGCAACTTCTCCTCTCCTCCTAGAGCCACTTCCAAATTTCCCAATGCAAACTTTGCAAAGGCATGTAGGAGAGGTTACCCTCTCTGGTCTCTGCCAAGGGTGAGTGGCTATGTGACCTTTCTGGACTCATGCTGCCACTTGCACACTTCATCCTGTAACACTTCCGCTCCAAACAGCTGCCACAGGGTAGACCTGCAGTGAACAAAAACAACTGTGGCTGGCAGTAATTATTTTCTGGGTTAGGAAGTAGAGCTCCTTGTGTCTGGAGAGATACAACTCCTCTGGTATCAATTGCACTTTTTTTGTTGACATATTTGCTCCCTGTGCATCTTACTCACTGCCTGCCTTTACAACAAAAAATATTAGTCCACTTACATTTGCTTCTCAGCGTTCATCCAGCTGTCGGAGAATGAACTGGATTTGGACACTGAGCTGACATTGTTGATTAGGACAATTTCACCTGCAGAACCCTTAATAGTGGCCTGATTTGACATCTGCATGAGCACAATGAAGGTATGCACCGTGCTTTACATAGGCAGCAAAGCCTGGTACCTGCCCCAATATGAACTGATCATGAGACAGGGTGCTGAAGAACATAACAGACAGAATGACTGGATAGAGGGAGAAAGGAACCACCTTATTCTGTGTGAGCCTTGCTTGGATGGCACAGTCGGTATCCTGTTAATTCCTAGGTGGTCAGCTCTTGGGTGCCAAGATTGTCTTCAGCTGGTGTTAACATGCAACACTGTGGAATTGGTGGAAAGAGGGAGGTGCAGGGTCCAAATAAGGAAGTGGCAGGTGACCACAGATGAGATGTAGGCTGTACAGAGCAGACATTTGAAATAAATGCAGTAGGGGATGTAGAACCAGTGGAGGGACTTGTATGAGGCTGGGGTCTGTGTGATCTAGTCACAGCTAATTTTGGCATTGGTATTTTGGATGCTCTGTAGTGGGAGAGCTAGGGGGTTGTTTGGGAGCCTGTGGAAAAGGAACCCATAGGACCGAGCAAGAGAGCAGCAGGGATGGATTTCAAAGCTGTTAAAGGAAGCAGCAGCAGAATATAGCAATGTGAGGGATGAGGAAAAGAGGGGAGTTGAGCCTGCCTGCCTGGAAGCAGGGAAAATTATGGGGATTATTTGTTACGCTGGAGGAGGTTGAAGTCCAAGGCAGAAAGAATGCAGCTAGATTTAAAGATCTTTCTAGGTGTTCATGTGGCCCCCATTGCCCTAGTGTAGGAACTCTTCACCAACACTAGCTCTGTCTTAGGCCTGGTCTACACTAACCCCCCAAGTTGAAGTAAGGTACGCAACTTCAGCTACGTGAATAACGTAGCTGAAGTCGACATACCTTACTTTGAACTTACCGCGGTTCAGACGCGGTCCACACGCGGCAGGCAGGCTCCCCCGTCGACTCCGCGGTACTCCTCTCGTTGAGCTGGAGTACCGCAGTCGACGGCGAGCACTTCCTGGTTCGATTTATCGCGTCCAGACCAGACGCGATAAATCGAACCCGGAAGTTCGATTTCCAGCCGCCGAACTAGCGGCTAAGTATAGACCAGCCCTTAGAAGGGTAAGTTGGGAGAGTTAGTGTTCGTGTTTAATGGCAGGCTAGGTGGGGTTTCCAATCAAGTTAAGGTTGCTTGACTTGGTGTGTGTGGGTTGTTTTGTTTTGTTTTTTTTGTTTTTAAAGTCTGGACAAGACCTCTGTCTCATTCTTCAGGTCCCTAGGATTATGTGCCCACATGTGTGGGTTCCCCCCACCCCTCCTGAAAAATTTCTCCCTATCTCAACAACAGGGAGTGCTAAGGTAGACATGGCTCCCATTGGTCTGCACCTATTAAATCACTGGGTCGTTTGTAACTGCACAGAGCAGGCCTCAAGGATATGGTGGTAAAAAAAGCTAGCAGCTGCCAATGCTTCCTCTACACTAGAACTACCACCAGTGCTGCTGGATGCTGAGACATTAGGGCATGTCTAAGCTGTAATTAAACCCGCAGTTGGCCTGTGCCAGCTTGTGGGGCTGTTTAATTGTGTAGATGTTTGGGCTGGAGCCCAGGCTCTAGGATCCTGTGAGGTGGGAGGGTCCCAGAGCTAAAGCTGTAGCCTGAGCCCAAGTGATTACATTGCAATTAAAGAGCCCCCAAGTCAGCTGGCATGGGTCAGCCATGGGTGTCTCACTGCAGTGTTGCTGTGCCATTCGTGCACATAAGGGGAGAGGCCATTCTTGCCTTCGTTCTAAAGAGACACCTAGGCAGTGGTTCAAGAAGTAACATTTAGTAGCTCAGCTAGAATCAGAGACTGCAACATAATAAAGTTCAAGATCTTCGTGTGAAGAAAGGTACCAAAAAAATTACCACTACGCTTTAGAAAGGGTGATTTTTCCCCAGAAAGAGGAAGCTTGTCAGAAAAGCCCTGAAGTCAAATGAAATTAAAATCCTTACTCGCTATGGAGGTGACTTAACCAACCAGAACAGGCTGAAAGCACGCATAAAAACTCTGTGCAGATACACTATATAAAATACACTCTCACAAATACTAAGTACTGACACCCTCCCTGCTCTGTAGAGCCCGGGGATCAGTAAGATGATTTTAATCAAAAGGAGTATAATGCAGTCACTTCCAAATCATGTCCCTGTTTTTATTCTCTCCGTGCTAGTCTGGGGCAGGGCTCCTCTTTCCTCACAGCACTTTCATGCAGACCTCTACTCTGGGAGGGTTGAGATTCTTTGGTAGGAAGGAAAGAGGATGTCTTTCATTCTGTCTCCAAAGAAACTTCATTCCATTCAGCAGCCCATGGCATGACCTGTTGACTGTAGGGATAGGAGCCTTCTGGGCAGAAGCGCCTTTCCACAGGCATGTTTGGGGCCACGTGCCTTTGGCCACATGGGAGATGGAACCCCACTAAAATATCTCCATCAGCTCAGCCAAAAAAGACAGATGAAACCCATAGCTCTGAGGTTTAGGTCCCATCCAAAGCAAAATCTCTTTCCATTGATTTCACTGAGCATTGGAGCAGGCCCTAGTGCACATTTTGTTCACTTTGGGCCAAATGCATTTTGTGCACTTCGAGCACCAGGAGCTCCCATTGAAGTGAATAAGAGTTTGAGGCAGTCAACCCTTACACCACCTCACTTTCTGAACATCATAAGATGAGGAAGGACTCTCCATTGCCATACCCAGCCCCTATGAAGAGTGTAGCACGAGTCGAGCATTTTATGGGGTGTTCCTCCCCACCCCAAAGCATTAGATTGCAAGCTCTTGGGAAGAGAGTCTGTGCCCCAATGTGTTTGTACAGCAGCTAACACATTAGGGTCCCAATCTCTGAATGGAGCCTCTGAAGTGCTAGAGGCAGGATACCACACTGTGCAGACCAATGACTGATAAGTTATGGAATGACGTGGACCATTGCTCTGAACTGGAATAGCAGGAATGATCCCAGACCAGTGAGACTGATATTTTGATAGCGTATTGCACATCTTTTGTGCCTGTATTTTTTTCCTTTGCTGTTGCATTTGTTTTAACTCTTTCCCTTTCACTGGAAGATACACACATGAACAAAAAATATTGTTTGGAGTTGTGTGTGGTGGTGGGGTTTTTTTGGGGGGGAGGCCTAAAACCAACAGGAAAGGTCTTGGCACTATGGGGATACTATTTATAGAAAGCAGATATTATTTTCACATTTCAAATATAGTAGCATAAAAACAAATCTTTGGAAAGAGACACTTGGAGGCTTGTGTCTCTGGAGCAGATAAAAATGGCCCTAGGAGAGGACCAGAGATACAAGCTGCTGATAAATGGAATCTTGTAACTTCTTTTGTAAGTTAAGCTTTTTCCTTGGTTCCTAGATGCCGAACTAACTAGGGATCCCCAGGCCATCAGAGTTGTCTCTTAGCACTATGGGTGAAGTTATCTGTAAAGATTAAAAACCAAGCTGGAACTTCAGGGCTTTATCTTTCACACATTCAGCAACATTAGTAGTAATTTTGTCTCTGGTGCCTTCT